CGCTTTGCGGTGCATCCGGGAGGTACTAAGATGTATCAGGATTTGGGTCGCCAGTTTTGGTGGCGGGGTATGAAGAGAGATGTGGCTGTTTTTGTATCGAAGTGCCTTACTTTCCAGCAAGTGAAGGCCGAGCATCAGAGGCCAGCGGGTTTGTTGCAACCCTTGCCTATTGCCGAGTGGAAGTGGGAGCATGTCACTATGGACTTCGTTGTAGGTCTTCTGAGGACTCAGCGGGATAGTGATGTCATTTGGGTGGTTGTAGACCGGTTGACTAAGTCAACGCACTTCATTCCTATGCGCGTGAGAGATTCGGTAGATCATCTCGCCGAGTTGTATATTCGGGACATAGTGAGATTGCACGAGGCCCCAGTGACGATCATCTCAGATAGAGATTCTCATTTTACTGCTAGGTTGTGGCAGAGTTTGCAGAGTGCCTTGGGCACTAAGTTGACCTTTAGTACGGTTTATCATCCTCAGACTGACGGGCAGTCTGAGCGTACTATTCAGATCCTTGAGGATATGCTTCGAGGTTGTGTCCTTGACTTTAGTGGGACGTGGAAGAGGCACTTGCCCTTGGTGGAGTTTGCCTACAATAACAGTTTTTAGTCTAGCATCGGTATGGCACCGTTTGAGGCCATGTATGGCCGACCGTGTAGGTCTCCAGTGTGTTGGGCCGAGGTGGGTGATGCACCTTTGTTGGGTCTGGAGTTGGTTAAGGAGACGATGGAGAAAGTTGAACTTATCCGTAGGAGGCTTGTTACAGCCCAGAGTCGCCAAAAGAGTTATGCCGACCGTAGGAGGAGGCCTTTGGCGTTTGAGGTAGGTGATCATGTCTTCTTGAAAATATCACCTAGGCGAGGTTTGATGAGGTTTGGGAAGAGTGGGAAGTTATCCCCTCAGTTTATCGGTCCCTTTGAGATCCTTGAGAAGATTGGGGAGGTTGCTTATCGTTTAGCTTTACCACCGCAGTTGTCCGGAGTGCATGACGTGCTTCATGTGAGTACGCTTCGGAAGTATGAGCTGGATCCGTCCCATGTGTTAAATTGGACCGACTTGGAGGTAGATGAGGATGCCTCGTATGAGGAGAGATCGGTTCGGGTCTTGGATAGGCGGGATCAACTCCTGCGTGGCAAGACCATTCCTTTGGTGAAGGTTTTGTGGAAACATCACGGAGTGGAGGAAGCTACTTGGGAACGTGAGTTGGAAGTCCGTAAAAAATATCTGGACTTGTTTGTTGATGTGTAACCATGTATTGGAATTTTTGTAATATGACTGAACTTTAAGAACATTATATGTGTCTTAAGTTGTAAAATATTGTGAATGTTTTGGTTAATGGAAGTTTGTTTTAACATTGCATATGTTAAGTATATTGTGGAAATGCAAGCATGATGATAATGTTGCATGTATTATGGAATTGTGGAAAATGAGTTGAAATTGGTGAATTTCAAAAGAATGCATGTTGATAATGCAGGTTGTTATGAATAATGTGATATGCCTCTTGAAAAGAGATGGGATTGACCGGTAATGGGTCGGGTTGTTTAATATTATGTTGTAATATTGTTGAGAATGGAGAAAACCTGCTTTTGAAAAACTTGTGTTTAATTTCGGGGACAAAATTCTTTAAGGAGAGGAGGTTATAACGATCCTGGTTGTCCTTTTACTGTTCTGTTGTATTTCGGACTGAGTTCCGTGGAGTTGGTAGTTGTATCTATCTTGTTGTCATCCTTTAATTCTATTTGTTCGGGTTTTAGGATGTATTGGGCAGAGTTGTTACAGGTTGGTTAGGCTTTGGTTTCAATTCTTTGTTGCCCAGTTTTTAGGAGGTCCACTCGAGCGAGTCTTCTTGCGCTCGAGCGGAGATAGCACGCTCCCAGTATTTTGGTGCTCTGTAGAACTTCCGCAAGCATGTTTTTCATGCTCAAGCGGGTTTCTTTACGCTCGAGCGGTGGAGCTCGTGCGGATAGTACTTTTTGGTGTAAGTTCTGGGGAGGGGGAAATCTACACTCGAACGGACTGGTTTTCGCACTCGAGCAGATGTACTTTATTCTTGTGTCTTGGCGCTCGAGCGGCCCTTATTGCGCATGAGTGGACCTAGTTTTTTGTTCTTGACGCTCGAGCGTTGTGTTCTCCGCTCGAGCGGGAATTTCGTATATCAGTTCGCAGCTAGGCGTTTTAAATTCACTTTTTACTTTCTCTCTCTCTCTCTTACTTTCTAAAAAGCTATTTTGAGAGTTCCTCTCTCTAGAAACTCCCTTCTCTCTAGGGTTTGATCTAGTTAGAGTGTTTCCTTTTCCTTCGGTCTTTGTAAAAGTTGGGTTGATCGTCGAGGGCTATCCATTGATCCGAGAATATTGAGTTTTGGAGCACGTTGAGTTTCTTCACCTTCTTTCCTTGAGCTCCGAATTTGAGGTAGGGATTCCTACTCACTCTTATGGTCTTTGACATAGATTTTTGGTCGTTTTGATAAAGTGTTGAAGTTGGGTAAATTTTGGGACTTAGGGTTTCAAAATGTTAAAAGAGGATTTGTTATTTTGAGTCTAAAATGTGTATTGTGGGTTCAAAATAATGATATCGTTGTTAGTTGTTGATATTTAGACCATTGGGTCAATATTTGGAAATCGGGTGGAAAACCTTAATTTTGGGAAAACTGTGACTTTATGGAATTGAGTTGGAAATAATGAAATTGGTGTATTATATGGTTGAATAGTGGAGTTAGATTTATTAATCGCTCACTTTTGAAAACATTGATATTTTATCTGTTGGAGCTTTTATTATCTGTTTAGAAATAATTACTTGGGATACCGGTGGAGGGTAGTTTTGATTGTTGTAGACAATGCATGATGATTAGGCAAACTAAAACTAATCAATTGGAAATGTCATAGAGTATGACGGTTGATAGAATACATTAACGTTATGTATTGATTGATTGTGTCTATGACCTTTGTGTATATACGTTGTGTGTGTGGGAGGAGATAGGGGATATACTCCACGGTTTAGGGGGAGATAGGGAATGGACCTCTAAACCGGATGTTGTTTGGGAGGAGATAGAGGATGGACTCCACTGATACAGCTCATATGATTGTCAGATAATGTGTTGATATAGCTCATATGCTTATCTTTGGAAGTGTTGATACAGCTCATATGCTTATCTTTGGAAGTGTTGATATAGCTAATATGCATATCTGTTAAAATGTGGATACAGCTTGTATGCTTATCTGTTGAGATGTTGATACAACTAGTTTGTTTATCTATTGTAAAATGGGAAACGTTTAATATGAGTTACTGTCTCATATAAGTGATTGGCCAAGTTCTGAGCCGTTGATATAAATTGTGAAATTGATAAGAAATGGAAATTGAAATGAAACATGAACATAGAGGTCATGAAATGGAAATGGGTTATGAATTGATTTATGAAAATTGAACATTTATCAATTGCTAATGTCTTAGTTATTGCTCATACTGTGTTTAGCATATCTCCACTGGGCATTGACTCACCCTTTATGGGACATTATTTTCAGGTACAGGTAGTATGTCGCCTCCAAGGACATAGCTTGGATGATGATGAGAGTTGAAGACTCTTTTGTTTATTTTGTTTGTATTACATGTATATCAAGCCAAGGGCTATTTTGTATAGAGTTAGTACTATTCTTTTGTGTAACCAGGTGTTGACTTGGAAAGCTGTAAGCCCATAGGGCATTTGCTTTTGTTGTTAACATGTAATACAGTTGTAAGAATTACTCTGATGAATAGAAATGGTTGGTTTCTTTTATATCAATGCATGTCTAAAGTGGTGGGTTTTATGTATTTTTTTGACGACGTTACACAATGAGCTAGCTTTATCTATGAGCAGAAGAAGACTGATCGTGGTCGTTGGATGTCCAGTCCTGATCACCAAAAATTCTACCCAACTTTGATGCATGTATGTATGTATATTAACAACAATAATGAGAATCAAATCAAGAAAAAGCATTAGCTTCAGTTTCTGCATGAACGAGGGTAGCATAGATACCATTAACGTGGGAAGCAGCCATGAGAGTGTCATGGCTTCCATACTCGGCAACGGCACCATCTTTGACAACAGCAATGAGATTGGCTTCCCTTATGGTGGAAAGCCTGTGTGCCACTACCATTGTTGTTGCCTGCTTTGAAACCTTCTTCAGTGCATCTTGTATGTGCTTCTCTGATTCCAAGTCCAATGCACTGCTAGCTTCATCCAGTAGTAGAATTTTGGATTTCTTCAGTATAGCCCTTGCTATTGCTATCCTCTGTTTCTGCCCACCAGACAGTTGCACCCCACTCTGACCAACCTGTGTGTCATATCCTTGTGGCAGCCCACTTATGAACTTGTGAATGTAAGCGTCCTTAGCTGCTTCTTCAATCTCAGCCCAGGATGCATTTGGGTTTGCAAATGCAATATTGTCTCTTATGGTCCCAGCAAATAGTGCTGGCTCTTGACCCACCAATGCTATTTGGGTCCTCAGCCACTTGAGATTAAGATCCCTCAAATCCATCCCACCCATCAGTACCTTCCCTTGATTTGGATCGTAAAATCTCTGCACCATCCATATCACTGTTGATTTTCCTGACCCACTTCCTCCTACCAGTGCTACCATACTTCCACTTTTGACCTTCAAACAGAAGTCCTTTAACACAATCACCTCTGGCCTAGATGGGTATGCAAATGTTACCATCTTGAATTCCACATCAAATGGCTTCTTCGACCTTTCAATCGTCCTCCCCCCATTTTGGCTATCATTATTACTACTATTATTATTATTGCCTATCAACGGTATACGCTTAATTATATCCAAAACACTAGGTATTGCAGTTGCAGCCATGGAAGTATCTGGGGCAAGGCCAGCTAGTTGTCCAACTGAAAATGAGCTCAGAACAAGTATTAGGAAAATCTTATATACCTCCCCGAAGTTTGTGTGGCCTTGTTTTACGAGGCGAGCTCCAAACCAGAGTGTCATAGTATATGCTCCATACATGGCACCTTGAGAGAACCCAAGGGCTAACCCAAGAATTTGTGACCTTCTAATCGATGTTTTCAGAGGCTCTGATAAAGCTCGATCAAAGGATTGAACTATCTGTTCTTGTGTTGAAAATGTTGTCACTGTTCTTATATTTGAAACTGCACCTGCAGCAATGTTGCTAGCTTTGGCATAAGAATTGTTATCTAACTTAGGGCCAACATTGACAATGAGATTGAAATAGCTTGCCCCGAGCGTTAATGGAGTGAGAGCAGCAGCCAAGAGTGTTAATCTCCATTCCAGACGAAATGAAATGCCAAGGCCAACAGTTGCTGAACTCAAACCCATTAGTAAAACAGAGAAACGATCCCCGAGGGCAGACCGGAAACTAACACAATCGATGGAAAGCCTTGAAACAAGTATTCCAGTCGAATTCTCCTCAAAATCAAACCAACCTGGTTCTTGTTTTAATATAGCTCGGAATAAGAAATCCCTGACCCTCTTGGTGAGCTTTGTACCGGCCCAGCCGCAGAAACCTTGCTGGCCTGTCATGGAGATGATGCAACCAAAGCCAAGCCCAACTAGTACCAAACAGAGTTTACCAACATCTCTTTTCATATGTTTTGTGTTTGTGTCGAAGTAAACTTGAAGGGCTTGGCCTAGAACTAAGGGAAAGATGGAGAGGATTGCACCGGCAAAAATGCCCAAGATGAACCCACATAACAGCATGACAACCTCTGGTTTCTGCAATTTCCATATCTCAGAGAGCCTGAATTTCCTGGGTTTCTGAACTTCTGCTTCTTCGTCCTCGTCGTCATCGTCCACTTCTTGCATGGATTTCAAGTAGTCGGACTTGGAGATTTCATATACGTGCTTTGCTCTCGATGACGCATCATGAACCGATTTCTCATCCACCGAGAAGTCTGTATTCTTCTTTTTGTTATGTTTCTGAGAAGAATCATTTTGGTTTGATGACAATGGTTTTGGCATGGGTTTTGAAACTGACTCAGAAGCTAGCTTGACAAGGTTGTAGTACGCCCCGAATTGTTCCATGAGCTGGACATGGTCGCCAATCTCAACAACGGAGCCGCGATCAAGAACAACAATGGTGTGAGAATGTCTTACAGTTGCCAACCTATGAGCAATGACAATGGTGGTTCTGCCCATGGAGATCTTGTCAATGGCCTGTTGCACCACCGATTCAGACTCCGTATCTAAGGCACTTGTGGGCTCATCTAATAGAAGAATTCTAGGGTCTTTGATCATCGCTCGAGCAAGTGCTATCCGCTGCTTTTGGCCACCTGACAATTGGGTTCCTCTATCTCCAACCTGCCAAGCCCAAACCAAAGAGATGGGTAAGGTTTCTACATATATGCAGTTTGATATGAGAGAGAGAGAGAGAGAGAGAGAGAGAGACACCTGGGTATCATAGCCCCATGGAAGGCTACAGATGAAGTTGTGGGCATTGGCAGCAATACAAGCTGCAGTAGCCTCTTTCTTGGTGGCATTCTCTTTACCCATCATCACATTTTCTATTATGGTAGAGCCAAACAGAGCGGGCTCCTGACCCACCATAGCTATCTGACTTCTCAACCACTTCACTTGTAGACTCCTTAAATCATGTCCATCCAAGTTTATCAACCCTGCCAAAATTATTTTGAAACTCCAACTGTCAAGCACCTAGATACTCGCGAAACATGTATATACTTGAGAGGGAGGGAGAGAAAGAGAGGGAGACACAGACATAATTTACTTAGCTTACCGTTGATAGGATCATAAAATCTCTCTATAAGAGCAAAAATGGTGGACTTGCCTCCCCCACTAACACCAACCAATGCGACAGTCTTTGAAGATGGAATTACTAGATTGAGAGAGCGGAGAATTTGAGCTGTAGGACGAGATGGGTAAGCAAAAGTGACATTCTTGAACTCAATCTTTCCACGTACACTTAAGAGCCTCCTCCCCGCCGTGCTGTAGGGATCAATGTCTGGAACTCTGTCTATGATTTCAAACACTCTGCTAGCTGCTACAGTTCCTTGTGCAAACTGCGCAAAATATGACAATGACAATGCCAAGCCCCTGCACAAGAAATTTTTACAAATCTGCTAAGAACGAATTTCGTTTATGCACACGATGGATGGATGGATGGATGGATGGGTAGAGAGAGAGAGAGAGAGAGAGAGATCACTAGTACCTCCCCCCTACATTGACACCAAAGAAACATGCAATGGCTGCACCTCCAGTGATCTCTTTTCTAGCAACCAAGATAGATCCATACCAGAAAGCCAATGCCCATGTCGAATACGTGACTAAATATATAACTCCCATTCCTGCACCCTTGGCAAATCCAATCTTCGCCCCAAAGGGCACTGCTTTCTCCAACATTCCTGCATATCTTGAAGCCAATTGATCCTCTGCTACAAAAGACAATACTGTTCTAATCGAACTGATGGCTTGCTCTGCAACGCTACCAGCTTTCCTATAAGAAACCTTGGAAAAAGAAAGCACCAATTTTATTTTATTTTTTCATGAATTAGGCGATGCTGGCAGAACCAGAAAAATACTGGGCACAAATAAATTTAACTATTAAATTTGTTCTGTTTTGAGGGGAAACAACAGCCTTCTTACCTCCTCTCTTGTAGTTAGACCAACATACACAGCCTTATAGACGATACCACATAACATTGTTAATGGGGTGACTGCCAAAACTGCCAGAGAAATCTTCCATGACCTCAGAAAGCCAACCGTGTAACCACATATGAAAGTGAATATATGATGGATGAAATGTGCCATCTGTCATAAGGAATATAATAATAAAACGTGTTAAATATATTTTGAAATTGATTTGTAGGTCTAATTTACAAAAACAATCAGGCAAGCATTTCTTTTTTTGGGTGAATACAGGCAAGCATTTCAATGCATTCAAATTATATGATTGGTGGGATTGCATTCAACTCATTTGGGAAGTTGGCTATTTTAATAGACTATTTTAGTAGGCTAAAATTTGTGTGTTTGATAAGATAGTTAGATTTTTTTGTAGTTGGATGTAATGTTTGTGAGAGAAAAAAGTGAAATGATTATCGGTTTAATGTGATATTTTGTCTTATTGGCTATTTTAAGCATATTTTGACTTTTTGTGGATTTTAACCCCAAAAACAAAGCTAAAACCCAACTTGCCAAATAGGGCCTTAGTAACTCAACGATAGTCAGGTCATTTAGGAGATGATCAAAAGAAAAGTATTCAGCTGAAGTCACTACTGTTTAGACCTTCATTTTTTCTTTTCTTATCCAGGAAACCTCACATCATCTACATACAATAAAAGACAAGCACCATTTAGAGCCAAATTCTCTCGAGTTGTTCTTTTTATTTATTTATTTTTAAAAGAGGTGAAATCTATATGAAAAATGACCAGAAGAAGAAGAAGAAGAAGAAGAAGAAGAGATCAAGTATAAAATTTGAAGGATAACCTTCTCCCCCATCACTTCTTGAATTTGTGCAACATCACTTGATATTCCATGCATAATATCACCAGTACTTGTTTGTGTGTCAAAAAATCCAACATCCTGTCGCAACACTGCTCGTAGATATTCTGTTCTAATCCGATGAGCTGATCGTTCCCCAATCATTCTCCAGCAAGTGATCTCTGCCAATTCATGGATGATGATAACAATAATAATAATAATAATAATAATAATAATAATAATGTCACTGAACAAAATTTCCAGAATAAAACTTTTGCAGTCTAAAAAGTGAAGCAGAGAAAGAGAGTTTTCTGCTTGCTTACCCATGTATGCTCCAACCACAACTATTGCTGCTAATCCGGTCATAAGAAGACATATCTGAATAAATATTAATGTCAAAACAAAACTATATTAACACTCTTCACCATTCAAATCCAATTTATTTAGATTTTATATTTTAACTGTAAATTTATTGACAGATTCTCTAATGACCATTCACTGAATCCTTGGTCTGTGAGAAAGTTCTAGCCATGACTCTTGTTTTAATCTAGAAATATATATAAATATTAGTTACAAAACTCTTTTACCTTTTCCACTTCCTTCATCATCTGATTGTTGTCATTGTTTGGTCCTCTGGCAATCTTGTTTACAAAATTACCGAAAAGAAACGAGTACCAAGGAAGAGATCCTCCATTTATTAGAGCTCCCAAACAGCCCAATATCACCAAAAGTATATCAAACTTGGTTGAATACTTGAACAAGCTAAGTAGCCCAACAGACTGCGGTGGCTCTGCATCATCCACATCATCATCATCATCTTCTTCATCGTATTGGTATGAAGACTCCCCATTAATATTAATGTTGCCATGATCATGCAGACGAGGATGATGATGATCATCCATATCGTCCTGATCAGTTTCATTGTCATCCACATAAGCATGTGAAACAGAGAACCAACGTGGATCGTGACGTTGGTAATGGTGGCGATTTGACTCAGCCTCAATTATAATTTTGTCCTCTGTGGTGTTATTACAATCAATCTTCCTAAGCTCATCCTTGTCAGCAAAAGGATCACTGTGTCCAGCACTTGCACTTCCCTCCTTAATCGTCAACAAGCTTGAAAACGTGGGTGAAAACTTAGGTGAAAGTTTAGGGAACTTACTATGTTGGCCAGAAGCAGAACTGTAATTCCTTGGAACAAGCGAGTGTGAGTGTGAGTTTTCATTATAACTCTGCAGCTCAAGTCTCCCAGTTCCCGATGGTGGTAGTGCACTGTAGCCATAGCCAGAATGAGAATGTTCTGAGTAGGAGATTGAGGAATTAGCGAAGCTGTGGTTCTGAAAGCCACCACCACCACGGGAAGTACGAGAAAGGTAATAGTCATTCGCTGATCGACGGAATATCCGACTGGAAGGGGTAGTGGTGGTGGTGGCAGCCGCCCATGGAGAGAGTGCTGCACCAAGATTGAGGTTGCGATTGTGGCGCCAGCCGGTTGGCTCGAACTGCCAAGAGAGCTCACCTTGCCATGACCTGTCATCGTCGGAGGCGAATGGGGTGGCCGGAGTAGTAGGGTTCCGAGGTGGCCTGCTTGGAGTAGGATAGTGAGAGAAGTTGTAGGAGCTGGATGCCGTAAAAGACTCGGATTGCAGGTGTCCGAATCTGTTGCTTGTACTAGTGCTGTTGGTTGTTGGGTGGCGATGGCGGTGGCGGTAACGGTTGCGGTTGCGGTGGCCTTGGCTGGAGGATGAGTAATCGATCATTTCGAAGGAGTCAGCCATGAATATGATAAAATGAAAATGTATATTATTAATTACTTGTTCATTCTAAAATGGAAATGGATGTTGCAACTTACAAATCAATAAATGTGTGTGAGAGAGAGATATGGAAAGGGTGAGGCCTTCCTTTATGTTTGTTTGTGAGAGTAGATTCAGGGAATGAGAATAGCTAATTATTAAGCTACTATCCAAGGCAAGGATTTTTAATTCTATTAGTTAAAAATGATATATAAATTTACTTTTTTTAACTTATTTAGTTAATAATTAAAGAAGATAAAAAAAAAAAAAATATTACGTTTAAAATTTTAATTAATTGTCACATTATTAAATTTAAAAATCAAATATAATTTTTAATTTTAAATAGCAATGCACTTACGAGTTTCTTACCCTTCTTAACTACTTCGATTAATCCGCCTTTTTTATTTATTTTATCTTATTTTAAAACCATACTATATACACCTTTGCTGTATGAACAGCTGTGCAATATAAACAGAATAGCTGTAAGATTTTTGTGAATGTGCACCCGTGTCTTTGTTGCATTTTTCTTGTGCTTATTTTCACAACAACAACAACATATATATATATATATATATACACTACTAAAGAAAGGGCCTTTTGAGTCGGTTTTTTGAGTCGATAAATTTTACCGTCGCAAAAGGTAGCCTTTTTGAGACGGCACAGAGTTACCGACTCAAATACCAAACCTTTAGCGTCGGCACCATTGGCCGACACAAAAAATTAATATTTTATAGCATTATTTGAATCAGTTGAATTTACTGACCTTTTGCGTCGGTAAACTCGTGCCGACGCAAAAAACTAGACATTTTTGTGTCGACAACTAATGCCGTGACAACAAAAATATTTTTATATTCAAGATATATATATTTACTTGATTATATTTAATAAATATATTTGTTTATACATATATTTTTATATTAATATTGAGTGTCTATACTATAAATAATATATTTCTCATTTAAAATTAGAAGGAGGTATTGTGATGCAATGGGTTAAGTGTGATACGTTGGGGCTGGGCTCAGGTCAAATTGTCCAAATGGTGTGTGTTCGAAACTTGGGAGCCTCAATGAGAAAATTATGAGTTAAATTTTTTAAAACGTTTAACCAATTTTTGAGTCGGCAATCTACCGTCTCAAAAAATTAAAACTTTTTGCGTCGGCAGATTGCCGACTCAAAAACTTTTTGCGACCCTACCATTTTCGTCCCTTGAGTTGCCGTCGAAACGCCATCGCAAAAAGTTTTTGCGTCGGCAAATACGCTATTTGCGACGGTACGCTGCCGATTCAAAAGCCCTGTTTTCTAGTAGTGATATATATATTTGCTAGGGAATAATACTAATGTTAAGAATACAAATTAGTATATCAATTAACATACCAATAAAATGCAATGTTAGGTGTGACCCATGTTAAGTAATGGAGTCCACATGTATGTCTTGTGTTTTAGTTAATATAGCGATCCCGGTTGTCCTTTTACTATTCTATTGTATTCCAGACTCGGTTCCATGGAATTGGTAGTTGTATCTATCTTGTTGTCGTCCTTTAATTCCATTTGCTTGAGTTATAGGATTTGTTGGGCTTGTTTCGAACAGGTGGGTTGAACCTTGGTCTGAAATCTTGTTGCAAGGTTTTTGGTCGTTCCGCTCGAGCGGACCTTTTTGCGCTCGAGCGGAGATTGCACACTCCCAGTTTTTCATGTCCCTGCAAAACTTCTGCAGGTGTGAATTTTACGCTCGAGCGGATTTCTTTACGCTCGAGCGGTCGCGCTCGAGCGGGTACCCTGGCGCTCGAGCGGGTTGTACTTTTTGGTGAAATTTCTGGGAGGGGGAAATCTACGCTTGAGCGGATTGGTTTTCGCGCTCGAGCGGATGTACTTTAATCTTGTGTCTTGGCGCTCGAGCGGGCCTTCTTGCGCTCGAGCATACATAGTTTTTGTTCTTGACGCTCGAGCGTTGTGTTCTCCGCTCAAGTAGGAATGTCGTATATCAGTTGGCAGCTGGGCATTTTAAAATCACTTTTTACATTCTCTCTCTCTCTCTCTTACTTTCTAAAAAGCTATTTTGAGAGCTCCTCTCTCTAGAAACTTCCTTCTCTCTAGGGTTTAATCTAGTTAGAGTGTCTCTCTATCCTCCAGCCTTTGTAAAAAGTGTGTTGATCGTCAAGGGTTTCGTTTTGATCCGAGAATCGTGGTGTTTGGAGCATTTTCACTTTCTTCTCCTTCCCCATTTGAGCTCTAACTTCGAGGTAGGGATATCCTAGTCCTTCTCATGAATTTTGTCTTTGATTTTTAGCATTTTGATGAGTTGGAGGTTAGTGGGTAATTTTGAGAAAGTTTGGGCCTTTGTGTAATTTAACAAAAGTTGGGGTTTTGTTTATATGGACTTGTATGCATGTTTGGCATAGAGAAATGAGATCAATATTGGTTTATCGGTAAAAAATGGAACCTTGGGGTTGTGATGTTAATTATGAGAAATGCTCTAATTACATTGACAAATTAATTGGTGTAATTAATTTGAAGGAAAGAAGAATTAAATCGAAAATGTTGGAATTGGATGTGTGTGGGATTAAAGGGTGTAGTTTGATTTGTTCATAGCTCACCTAGTTAGAATGTTGATTATATATCCATTTGGTGCATTTATTTTCAGTATAGAAATAACTGCTTTGGGCTATCGGTGGAGGATAGTCTTGATTGTTGTAGACAATGCATGATGATTAGGCAAATTGAAACTAATCACTAGAATATGTCATTTGAGTATGACGGTTGAAAGTAGAAGCACAAGAGATGTATTGATTGATAATGTGTATAATAATTGTTTATATACATTGTGTTGTGTTGGAGGAGATAGGGGATGTACTCCACGGTTTAGGGGAAGATAGGGGATGGACCTCTAAACCGGATTTTGTGTGACATTGATACAGCACTACAATGTGTATCAAGTGTTGATTATGGAAGTATTTGAATTGATTCAATATAGCACTAAAATGTATATCGTTATCAATTGTAAAGTATAGAAGTGATTCTATGTTATGTTGATACAGCACCGAAATGTGTATCTTTCGCAAAAATATAGGAATGGTTTAAGTGTTATTGATACAACATAAAAATGTGTATCCCTCAGAAATTTTGAAAGTGTTTTTAAGATGAGTCTAAATCTCATTAAGTTATTTGGGTAAGTGTTGAGCCTTGGTTTCAAACTCAAAGTTGGAAAAAGATATGAGAAATGAAATGTAACATGAACTTAATGTCATGAAATCGAAATGTGATATATGTGGATGTATCTGTGTTGACCATCTATCAACTGCTAATCTTTTAGTCATTGTTCATGGCTGGTTTAGTGTATTTCTACTGGGCTGTGGCTCACCCTTTATGGACATCATTTTCAGGTACAGGTAGCATGCCACCTTCAAGGACATAGCTTGGGAGGCTAGAGGCAGACAAGATTTTTTTTACTTTCTTTTGATGTATTACATGTAAATTCAAGCCAAGGGCTTAATATGTATTGAGTTAGCATCTTCTTTTGTAACCAAGTGTTACTTGGAAAGCTGTAAGCCCATAGGGCATTTCTTTTTGTTAACATGTAATACTTTTGTAAGGAACTACTCTGATGAATAGAAAAAATATTTATCTTTTATACCAATGCATGTCTATGTTGTTGGGTTTTAATGTTATTATTTTGAGGGCGTTACAACTTGGTATCAAAGCGTACCGGTTCGAATACTTTGGGTACGTGGGAAGTGATTAGTATCACAATGGGTTTGTCTCGCTTGTTAGAGACTTATGCGTAACATTATGTGTTTATTTGATAACATGTTTATGTGACTACTTGGGTATGGGGATTTAGTTTCTAGGATGTTGTTGATGTGATCCTTGGGTTTTTCCAGTGAGCTCTTGTTAGAAAAGCACTTGATCAATGTGTTTTCTAACCGGAACTCTAGTACGCCTCGGACTGTCATATCCGGAATGAATCGTAAAGTGCTTATGTGGTTATATGTGGCTTATGTGGAGTGAATTACAGTTTGTCCATGTATTAGGACGCGGAGTGTTTTAGTTTGGGCACCTTAGAATGTTGCGACGTTCCTCGTTACCTTTATTAGGATGTTCAGGACGAGTAAGTGGTAAGACGTGGCGACGTGGTAGGCAGGAGATGCCTTTACCGATGATATTCCGGCAGCAGCATGGAGGGGTTGGCCAGGCCAATGTGGCTGAGCCCAGCAGGTCCAGGAGGCTAGTGCGCTTTGCCCGAGGGGATAGCCCGATGCTTGTGAGGGAGTTCGTGGGTATTTTTCGCGAGCCTGAGAAATCCAGTTCAGGCTCCAGTTCGTCCAGGTTTGTTGAGGCATGGGCTTCCTTCCATTGAAAAAAGGGAGTTCTTCCGGTCTAACCCGGAGAGTTTAATTGGGAATCCGAGGAGCCACTGAAGGCTGACGAGTGGTTAGAGCAGATGAGTAAGACATCGAGAATGCCTTGCATCGAAGGATGGAGGCCGTTGAAAGTGACCTTCGGCATCCTTCCAGCTTAAAGGGGTGTGGGTCAGTGTGGAAGTAACATGAGGGGCGTATTGCTGGCAACGTGGGAGGCTTTTGTGAGGCTTTTCAGGAGAAGTATTTAATCTCCAGCAAGTCGGGAGAAGCTTGAGAGACAATTCTGTCAGCTTTTTGGAGTTGAGTCTTCAGTAGCCGAGTAAATGAGGTCTTTCACTAGCTTGTTCCAGGGTTTGCAATCCTGAACTTGTGGGTCCGAGGAACGCCGCTGTGATTTGAGTTCGAGAAGAGGTTGAGGCGCGGCCTCAGATGAGGGGTTGGAGGTTCGATGATCCGAGATTATGGCGTTGGTTGATGCGCGCCCATATGGAGATCATGATGCAGGAAGAGGAGGGACAGAGAGGCTCAAGAGAGCCAAAGATGGTCAGGGTGATGGCAAGGGAGACAGAGGAGTGCAAACCCTCAGCAGTCTCAGGGGGGTGTTTGCTTAGATCGACCATTCCGGTGCCGAGTGCAGGCTTAGGGAGAGGTAACAGGGGGAAGTTCACGCCTGTACATAATGTGGCAGTTTGGGCCACAAGGCTTCAGTTTTGCCCACAGAGGGAGGACGTCAGGAGCTGCTTCTTCTTCTGCTA